CCATCTTTTCACTTAGATTTATATTCTTGTATCACTTCATATATCATATATATCTAGCAATCTATCTAAGAGAAATAATCTAGCAAGATCTGTCAGATTTGAAACAAAGTGGTCCACATGGAAAATTAGACGAAATTTAAGCTCTTTTATACTCAAAGAAGCTAATGCCTGATAGGACAAAAAATTGAAAACTACAATGAACAAAAAATATCAACCAAATGATACCAAACAGAGTACGGAGGCCAAAGGGGAAACCTGAGCAAGAAAAGAAGGAAAAAGATAGTGGAGAAAGCCACTAAGGGCCAATTGACCCTGAAAAGTTATTTTATCCAAAACCCATCTTCATGACATATGATGTCTGCTACATGTCTCAATTGTATTTGGAACAGTACACAAGTGAAAATCACTCCAATACACGGATAGGCATTTTTAAAGTGATGCTGCCAGTAAATCATGATCAAGGTGCCACATGATTGATGGGCATAGTAATATGTAGTGTAATATCATGTCATTTAGATATCTAATACCACAGGTGTGATCATTTTTTTCCTAGGAACAAGGCAATGTCAATACCCTGTGCCACCTATATGGCCCTGTATGGTACCTACTGATACGTGCTACACGTGACTGAAATTCAAATGGTTCAGGAACTTCATCACAAAGCAAGCAATGTGTTCTAAGCATACAACAGACATCTGGAAAGGTATGTTCAATTCTTAATTCTAGTTGTCATAGATTGATTAGATATATCATATCTTCTTCTAGCCACAATTGCCTAAAATATGGAATACCTTAAGAAGTAGCAACAAATGTTCACAACCAATCTAAGGAACAGCAACATGGTTGAGATTGTTGTCAAAAATCACTATTATTGTCAAGGCCAAAAATATTGCAATTGTTCATGTGCTATTATTAAACAAATATAAAGAAATGAGAGTTCAACTGAAAAAATAATATAAAATTTGCAAACCAAAAAGATGCCGTCAAATGTTATAACCTGGATTTTGGTGTCAAAAGTAAATAACGCTGAAATATTCATCACCATCTTAAACACAACTCATGATCAACAAACTTAACTACATATGCAATCGATACTAAACAATCACATTTCTCTATGCTAATGCGATTTTCTAACAAATTCGCAGAACAAGAATCTAATAGGGAAAATATCCCCTATATTTATCAGGGAATCGCAATCAAGAGAACAGGAAAAAGGGAAGGAGAAAATCGATCAGGTGATTCGATGCACGAAGATAGATAGAAGCAAAGAAGAGAAGACCCACTCGGACACACTCGGCGTGGTCCCCCAAATTACGGTACTCGGGGTTGGTCTTGGATCCAGCGGCGTAGCCGACAGAGGTGCGGACGACGCCGGGAAGACATCCGAAGACGGCCTCGGATCGCCAGAAGCTCCCGAGGGCAAAGACGGCAGTCCTCAGGGGCCGCTGGCTCGTAGGCGTCAGCTCCGGGATCCGATCAGGGAACCGGATGCCCACGGCTTGATTCGCCAAGGAAGCAAAGAAGAGGGCGATAGACCACAGCAGGAAGAGGAGACCGCCTCTGGGAAGCTCCATCTAGACTTCGATTGCGAGCCGTTTCGGAGCGAGAGGAGACGGGAGAGGGTTCGCGATCTGCGATCCGTCCCTAATTAGTTCGAGTCATTTGATTCGACCCCAAACTTGCTTAACAAACGACCTTCTCCTCCTTAAGTACTAATTGCATGTCCCTTTGGTAAGCTAATGATGATAGCGTAGGTGATGATAGACGATGACATCTGTATCAATATCGACGTAGTTGTTAAGTGATAAAAGGACCATCGATATAAATACGGAGTAACATTGTTCAATAACTATGTTAATATCAACCTAGATATAGAATGATGCTACTCGATTGATGGCTCTTTCACATCAACTGCGTGGGTATCGACATAAATATAAAACGATCATCATTTTTCTTTATTTTCGTATTTTCATTGATAAAACTAATAATATTAGAATAAATAGATTTAGATGTTTTATTTTTATAATTATAAAAATATTAAAATATAAAAGATTAAAATAATAAAAAAAATTAAATATGAAAGATAATATGTAATTAATCCTTGTGACCCGAAATTAGAGCCCAAATCGTCTTTTTCAAAGCCATCTATGTTGTACCCATTCACATGCCCGTTTCACGAGGGGGAGATAAGTCGACACCACAAGTGGGACCCACGTGTGGGAGAGAGGGTCAGCTGTTTCCGAGGGAGGGAAACCGGTTCACGTAAGTTTTGTTTTGCATATCTATTCATTCAAAACCTAATAATAGCGTGTGTGTATATATATATATATATATATATATGAAAGAGGTATACAAGGGAACTTGTATTTGAGTGAGAATAACTCAATGGCTTATAATTGATTTCATATATTGAAGAATATAAATTTCTTCATATATGTCAATGGGATTTGTGGAATCACAATAAATTTTATATTAGATTTCTAGTATATCGTTTGATTATTGATCTATGTAGTTTTCTTTTGATTTTTGATTTTTCTTCTTTCTCTCCCTAATAAGTGGTATCAAAGTTCAAATATGTTGTGGTGAGAGGTTCAACCAGAATGAGCAACAAAGATTGGAAAAAGCATAAAGAAAAGGTATTTTTTTTAAAAAATATGAAAATAAAAAAAAATATTCACCAAGGGAAAGATTTTTAGGATTAGTAAGTATTTTAGGATTTCTGAAATTAGCGTAGAAATACTTGTACTAGTTCTCGTGAAGGAAAAAAAAAATTAATAATTAGGATTTGATTTTTCTATGAATATCTCATATATCTCTAGATTTTGATGTGAAGAATCTTTTAGTGTTCTGGATTTCTTGATGTTTAGATAAAGTGATCTTTTAAAATTCTTAAAGATGGTTGAGAGAAAAGTTCTTACGTTTATACGAGAGATCTACGATCAGAGTATTTTATAATTGATATTTTATAATACGCAATCCCAGAACAGCTACTGCTCATGATTTCTTCTCTCTGGGCTGATGAAGTGGGGCTTCGCTTGCATTCGATGAAGCAAAGAAGGGTTATCAGGAAGAGCTAAAGAATAATGTGCCAAGGAAGCTGCAGTCAGCAGTCTGTGATGTCTGCGGTACAAGAACATCATAATAAGTCAGATTATAGTCAGCAGTCTGTGATGTCTCCAGTACAAGAACATCATAATCAGTCAGATTATTCATTCATGATATCAACTCAAGGAAGAAGAACAATAAGATACAGGAGGAGTCCACTTGATCTCATCCATCTGTACCCTTGTTTTCTTTATCATGTGTTCCCGTCGCGTGCTGGCCGAAGCAGGTTTCCAATATTTTGACATTTATGAAAAGTCAAAGACAGATCATCGGCAGGACGATAAAGTGCTACACCATGTGACGAAAAAGGAAGGTACCAGGAAATCTTGCAGTATTTAATACTGGTGATTTGCGTTGAGTCATCACATGTGTTCTTGAATTGCTATAATCTGTGGACACTGGTCGTGATCTGAGCAACATTCTTCAACATGAGCTGATTACACTGGTCGTGTGAGGGCCTTCCACTCGCTTTGAAGAGGAAGAAGGATGGGAAAAGTCCTGCGTTTGGCCGTGCTGGCTTCAACTGCTTCCTTCATGTATGTTGTTGTTTTGCTTTCAGCTTTGACGGACGTCTAGCGGAAGCATCTGCGTTCAACTCCACCGCTTGGAATCACCGACGGAGTGTGTGAAATGGCAGTGGAGACTTTAGCGGCAGCCAAAACTATTCAATGCGAGAACACGGCAGCCACCTGAAACAAGAAAATGAAAAGAGAACAAAGCGGGAAAGAGCATAGAAGTCGTGGGAGACGTGTCTGACCGAGTCAAGTCCTACTGTCTGACGCGTGCGTGGACTTCTCCAAAGAAAGCTACGGCTCTTCTCTTCACGAGTAATCGTCGGTCGAACATGTTCTTTGAACCAGTTTCTCGTCCACCCGACTTCGAACACAGAAGAATTAAGGCATCTGTCGGTGGGATTGCTTCTTCCTTCTTACATCTCAGAGGAAGGAAGAGAAACCACTCCCACAACTGCAGCTCAAACACTTCATCATCTCAGCCAAAGGAAGAGAAGAAAACACTCTGGCGTCAAGGAGGTCATTCATTCCAGCATGTAAACTCTTTGGGCGTTCGACTACAGATCTCAGAAGCAGCAGCAACCCATGCCTTCTTATTTGCCTGCAAGTCCGAGACTCAAAAGAAGCTTTGTTAATGGTGTGGCTCACCATATAAGCGGTGATGGAGTCAGACGTGTAGTCCATGATTCGATACATAGTATTCTAATACAGTCGAGACTCGCATCCCCCCCACTGCTTGGAATCCACCCCATGACAAACACCAACTCGCTTCTTGGTCCACAAATATCACCACGTCGTATTAAGAGTCCGACGTCGACTGCGTCAAACCGCGTGTTGGGAACGTCGAGCTCGCTATTGCAATTGACTCGATCTTATTCGTATTAGGGAGTTTCTTTGACGTTGACAAAGTGACCACACCCTTTAATCCCTTACTCCAATAAGACTACGTGTATGATATCTGTAATTTTCATTAGGTGCACATATTTTTATCTAACTAAGGTTACAGCTCTCCAGAATTTTCTTCACAGTGATCCATTGGGATTGAACAGGCCTCATTTTGGCATGGGCTGGGATAAGACTGACGGCAATTTCACATTGTAAACGCCCCTTCAATTGGGCAGCAAAAGGCACGGGAAAATTGTTCCACGGCGATGCTTTACCTACCTGTGGTTTTCGAACTTGTCGCTGCACCTTTCCTATGGTTGGAAGAGAAGATGGGCCCAGGCGGGTCGCCTAATCAAATGATGGTACCCGTGGCTAAGAGTCAAAACGGTGACCGAGGAGAGAGAAAAGGTCCAACTAACATAACAAGAGAGGATGCCAAGAATAAACCAACCAACTAACCACAAAAGAAGGGAAGTGAAACCAACAGGGGGAGATCAAAAGATCCAATTCCAATTCCAATTCCTCCAAATCCATTTGATTTCTTTGAAGATCCAATTACAGGAGGAGGGGGAGAGAGAGAGAGAGAGAGAGAGAGAGAGAGAGGGGGAGAGAGTGAAAAGGGTGGCTGATGGAGGTGCTACCTTCAATCAGTATCGTCCTTTGACCACCTCTACCCCTTTCCTTCCCCCCATCTTCCTCCACCCTTCCCTCCCCCTTCTCCAATCATCATCCGAGCAACAAACCTCCTTTATAAGGCATCATCGTCGACTCCTACCTTGATTCGTTGATGGTAATCTTATCAGCTATACTCCCCAGGGCAGGAAAGAATGGGCGCGTGCTTTTCCGCGGACGCCAAAATAAGAGGCGGCACCAGCAGCGCCGGCACCAGGTCGTCACGGAAGCAGCAGCTACAGCCTGAGCAGAAGAATAAGGCGCCGACGACGCAGCCGCAGCAGAAGGACAGAGGATCCAAACGGCGGTCGAGTGGGCTCGTGCCGTGCGGCAGGAGGACCGATTTCGGATATGCCAAGGATTTCGACAGCCGGTATTCCGTTGGGAAGTTGCTCGGGCATGGGCAGTTTGGGTATACGTTTGTTGCCACCGAGAACGCTACCGGAGAACGGGTGGCGGTGAAGAGAATAGACAAAAATAAGGTAATTCTGCAACCGCATATGCTTGATTTTGTTTCGCTGAGTTTGCAATTTGAGACTAAAATTTTTAAGGATGCATACACAAGATAGGGTGTACAGTTTTTTAGTTCAGAAGATTTGTTGGTAGACAAATATAAGGTAATTCTGCAACCGCATATGTTGATAGATGTGGAAGTTTTTCTTTAGCTGGCCTAAGGAATTGATGTGGATTAAGGTAGATTAAGTAGAGACAAGATTTGTTGGGACAAAAGTTGTTACTTTGAAATTTCTGATGTTGATTAATGCGTTCTATTTCATCACTGCTACCACACTTCATTTTAGGACAGGTTAAGTGCATGTTGGAGCTGCAAGAGGTATACAACCATTTGACTTTGTAGAATAAATTTGTTGGTGATAAGCAAAAGAATTAGCTCTAGAAGGGCTTGTACCTTATCTCTGTGAGCTTTTTGTGCGATTGATTCACTCAATCAGTTTGAGAACAAAAGAAAAGAACTCAATAACCTGGACCCTTAGCAAGTTTATAATCATCTGAAATGGTAGGACTTTATTTAGCACTCTGTAGGATAACCTGAAGAAATAGTTGATATGAATATAGCCTTTGGTTAGTTTTCCATTCAGCAGGATTGAAACTTAGGTCTTAAATGAAAAAAAAAAAAAAAAAGTCATCGAACCAGGCATGTGGGAGCTCTGTTATACAGTTAACTTCAATTATCATGGGTTTATCATGAATTTAGGAGTTCCTGAACTGGTAACAAGCCAGCCACTTCTTTTTTCAACTTCGCCCAAGAGATGGCCCTTCATGTTGTAACGAACATTCAAGCTCCAGAGTATATTTGTATTCTCATTAAAACCATCAAGACTCGAGAATCACAAAATGGTTTTGGGGGGAGGGAGAGATTTAGCAGGGTAAGCATTTCTTATTATCAACACTTGGATGATGAAGTTGGAGAAATCACTATTAATATCTGAAACAGATATTAATTAATGTATTGATTGGACAATAACTTTGGTGTACCTTTTAGTCCATACTGGTGGGAGAAGGGTGGGAGAGAGAGAGGGATTAATACCTGGAACCTTAATAACAGTTGGATTTGATGTTGGAGAAATGTCCTGTTTATGCCTGATAAACAATGAATAATATCATTCGACAATAGTTTTTGTAATTTATATTATACCAATTTATCTTAGTTTTATATTTACAATCTTCTAGAAAATTTTCAAAAGTGCTTTAACATTGTTGTAGATCATGTGAATGAAGATTAAATTTGGGGAATATAGGCTAGCAGGATGAAATTAATATGTGATCTCTCATCATTATCAGCAGCCAATAAACCATTTGGTTGACATTTTTGGCCTTGAGTTCAGAAACTAACATGAGATTATTACTATGTCAACATTGCCATACGGTAGATTCCTTTCAAGGTGATATCACTTTCGTGGGTCTGCTTCAGTGTTTAGAGTCTTTAGACCATATGCTTTTATCACAATCCAAGATTTTTAAGACATGTTAATAACCAGTTAAAGGTCATTTGATTTTAGGATGAGTAAAGCATCAAAAATCCATGAATGTGTGACATGAATTTTCATGGAGCTGTTGGAAGAAAATTGTTAATAAGTGTCATGAGCATATGCTATTACTCATCTCGAATATCTGACTCATAACAGGCAGATGTATCTAGATATGACTATTAAAACTACTTTACATTGCTTAATTAATTCAAATGGCCAAAACAAACAACTGATTGTAAGTATTTAACAGGTTCTTAAGTGTTTTAGTAGGGTGTTCAATCATATTTTTTGTGCAAGGTTGGAATTGTAAATGGATTTTAATCGTTAAGTGTCTATTGTACAGGGTGATGAATGTTCTATAAAGTAGTCAACTAACATCATTGAATGTGCCATGTCGAGATTATGAATGGATTTTAATGGTTAAGTTCATGAAAATGGCATCAGAAGCTGTGATGAGTTGCAGATGAGCAGCACAATAGACCTTATTGGATGATTTTACAAGGATTAAGGATCAATTGGAGAATCTCCTAGTCCATGTCGATAAATTTGAATATCTTTTAGTGCTGCAAAACTAGATTTGACTTTCTTGTTGTTTTTTCTATGAATTATCATGTAAACTAAGTCATGGATTTACATGTTTAAGATCTTCAAATGCATAGCTTCTAAATTAAATGTGCTGGTCAAACCATAATGCAAAGTTTCTCTTTGTTGAATTTTTAAGATCTGTAGAAGATAAGGAATAGGATGACCAATACAGATAATCAAATTATCCTTTTAAGCACATCTTTCTTAGATTCTTCCTGAGATTTATGCCACTATTATTTCTTTAGTTGAGACTAAAGCACGCTTATATGTGCTCATTAGTTACAAACGATCAATGAGTTTGCTGTAAGTAAAACAATGAAACCTTGAGGTCAACAGTCAACACCTCTTCAGTTGTTAACTTTGAAGTTCTGTAATTGATCATTGTTTATTTTCAGTCCCACTCAGTGATTGCTACCTGATTAGTTGATCAATGTTCTAGCCACTACAAACTAACAATAACTAGAGGCTTCCTTGATCTATTTAAAGTCAACTTCAAGAGCATTTCCCATGATCAATTTCCATTTATATATTGTAAAATGATCTATCTTGAAAATCAAATTTCTTGAGTTTAATGTGTGAATACTCTTGGTAAAAAATCATTATTTCAGAGAATCATTTTTGTTCTTGACTGTTCTCATGAGCTTGAAAGATGTTTCTGGGAGTTCAATGTAAGCCTCAGACTTCTTTCTAATACTGAACTTCTCGCTGTTGAACAAGAAGACCTTGTGAAGCAGTGCGTCTACAAAATCCCTTCATGAAAAATTCTGGAAATGGTGAAGAATGTTGAAGAGGTCTATTGGAAGAATGGACAATGTCAAGTTGAAGGCCAACATCTCTCTCTCTCTCTCTCTCTCTCTCTCTCTCTCTCTCTCTATATATATATATATATATATATATATATATATATATGTACATGTATATGTAATTTATATGTATATTTATATATATGTATATGTGTATATATATATGTGTGTATGTATATATATGTATATGTATATGCATATATATATATATTTATATTTATATTTCACTCTCTGTCCTTTCTATTCTTGTGCCTTGGGTTTCTTACCAGTCCAGCAACCACTGTTAGATATTACCTACTACAGCTTTTTAACAACTAATCTGCTTTTCAGTTCTTAACTTGTGTTTGGTACCTCCTATCCTGCAAAATTTCCAATATGTGCCAAGTGAAAAAATCGCTGAGTGATAGCAAATGTTATAAACAATTACATTGAATAAGACCAAAATGTCAAATCAAAACTTTTTTCATCATCTAATTTTTCTACTAAACTTATTTTATTTGGAAAACTTAACAATAAACTAAAACAAAATTTTTATTTTTTTGTTTGTAATTGAAAAAAGTGATATGCACGATTCCTTAATAACCACATATTAGCTCTGTGAGTACAGGCCATTAAGCATTATATGGTGTCCTCCTTCTACATGTAATGCTCACATCTTTAATGGATGGTATTTGTGTGAACTTTACTTTCTTTTCTGGTAGATGGTCCTTCCTATTGCTGTCGAAGATGTCAAGAGGGAAGTGAAGATACTGCAAGCCCTGAAAGGCCATGAAAACGTTGTCAATTTCCATAATGCATTTGAAGATGATTCCTATGTGTATATAGTTATGGAGTAAGTTTCTCTATTGTGTTTTATTTAGTAGCATGTGGAATTATTGCAATACAATATTCAACTCTCAATTCATTTTAAGTTGCAAACTTTCCCTTTTTTCTGTTGAACACAATTATCAGTGTGAATAATGAAATAAAGATCGATGATGTTCTTTCTTTTTGACAATTTTAAGGATTTATAACATGTCTAGTCAACATAGATGGATGGCATTTTCTTATCTTTGATTAATAGCAAGGAACTGACATGTTCACTTATCTTTAAATTATCATGAAGGATCACCAAATGCCAGGTCTGATCTTGTCCTTTTGTTTTTGTCGACCTTTTATTTTAAACCTGATATTCATTCTTTTAGATTGAATATGCTCCTGATATTTCTCCTAAATGTCAGAATACGCTTTCTAAAAAATCTGGTTATTATATCAGAAATGATAGGATTAATTTGTTGGATTTGATTTGTATGCCTAGTTCTTGTTAATATTATCTGTTCCAACATCCTCATTCAAACTTTATGTTGAAATTTGAGACATTAGACCCAATCATATAAAAGCTAATTCACAAATTTATTCTGGTTAATTTGTTCTGTAGTCAAACTTGTGACTGAATATGCTTTCTTTGATATTGATATCATGTTTGTTTTCTATCACTTTATCAGGTTATGCGAGGGAGGGGAATTATTGGATAGGATATTAGCCAAGTAAGATCTCTTAGCATTGTGAAAGTTAAGGCTTTGATACTTCCCATTTATCTTCTCTGAGAATTAAAAAACAATTAGTGTTGAATAAATCATGTGTGATGGCTATAATATGAGTCTTTGAACATATTTGGCTGTCATTTTTTAATATATTCATCATCTCTTTTAAGCTCCGAGTATTCACTTCTCCAGCTGTAGTAAAACTTGGAAAAATAAAAACTGTTTCTAAATTGATGTTATCTTCCCAGAAAGGATAGTCATTACACTGAGAAAGATGCTGCAATAGTAGTACGGCAGATGCTTAAAGTTGCAGCTGAGTGTCATTTGCATGGTTTGGTACATCGAGACATGAAGCCTGAGGTAAAATCTGAATGAATCTAACAGGATTTCTAAATTTCCTTTTAAAAACCTAGTGAAGTTCTCTGGGTGTTCAACTTTGAAAGCACTGTACATGTATCTGCAGAACTTTCTTTTCAAATCGAGTAAAGAAGACTCACCTCTAAAGGCAACAGATTTTGGCTTGTCTGATTTTATAAAACCAGGTTTGTTTTATGATGGTCCTGTTCAATCTTAGTGAAAGTTAGTCTTAAAGTTTCAATACTAAATATTTTGTTAAAAGAGTTCTTGAGAAATTTACAATGGCTTGTTGCAGGGAAGAAATTCCATGATATTGTTGGTAGCGCATATTATGTTGCTCCTGAGGTTTTAAAACGGAAATCTGGCCCTGAATCAGATGTTTGGAGCATAGGGGTGATCACTTATATTCTTCTTTGTGGGAGACGTCCATTTTGGGACAGAACTGAGGATGGGATATTTAAAGAGGTAAATTTGCATTTTGATTTGTAAGGTTATAATAGATAAGTGTGCTAATATTTCCCAAAATTTTTATTTATTAAAACTATTGCATACCTGATTCTCTTAAGGACTGTACTGTTGTCACATGACTCTGGAAAATTTTTCCTATGTTAAAAGCATTATGATTCAAATTTCATAGGGATAGGCTCATTAAGTTATGTCTATGCATTTGTTCAAAAATTTTCTTCCTTAAAGGATTAAATTGATATGAGTTGTTTCTGGTCAATTATGAACTTTGTGAATATTGCTTATTTTATAGTCCAGTGTGGATTATATGATCCTTCTCCACTTGTATTTATGATACTTGTGTGATGGTTATTATACAGCAAAGGGTCGAAAAACTTGATCTCAAAAGTCTTCTAAGTGTGAGCTATTAAGTGTGTATACTATGTTATTGAAAAAAATTGTTTAAATTAGTCATTGTGGAGGAAAAATATCTTTGTTTCTTAAATCACTGACAAAAGGCATGATGCAAAATTTTCTTGGTTGGGTCATTGTCTCATGGTATCATGAAAATGTGGTATTGTATTGAAGCATTAGCCCCTTTAAATAGTTCCTGGAGGAAGACCATAAACCAGGCCTCTATTAGGCCTTGAGGGGCATCCCAAGAGAAATCAGTATTGTTGGAGCAGAATTATCCTAAAGAAAAGAGCTCCTCAAATCAAGGAGATTTGATTAACAGAGTTCATTGATGCTTGAAGATTGGATGATTTCAAGATTGAGATGCCCATATTAGAATTGGATCATGTAAATCCTTCATTGAAGTCCAAAAGTTCATGTCCAGCAAAATGTGTTGGAGATTAAAACTTGATCAGCCACTTTTTTTAAAGACTATGATCTTTTAGAACATGGAAAAACAACCAAACAAAGCTGTTAGTAGATTTTCTACTTGTCCTTTATGACAAAGGAGATCCAAGACACCTAATACAATTCCAAGGCACACAACAAATTTGGGACCCACAAGTCATATGCCATGTGTTATCCTTTTTCTTTCCTTTGGCCTTGTTTGGTGAAATTTGAATGGATATCGAACAAGCATCTTATTTTTGAGAGAACAGCTTGGGAACCTTGGTAAAATGAATAAAAAATTCATGATCCACTTGGTTATAAGTACATTTTTGGAAATGAAATTCATTTTTCATCCTCTTTTACTTAAGTGTAATGGAAATTACCCTAGTTGATAGAGTACTTTTTATGCCAGCATATTTCTGTAGGTCTATATAGGAATAACTAAAAGGTTATGTATGTCCTTTTGCAGCATATCTTTTTCTTTTCCATTTTTAGCATAAAATATTTTTTTCCTTTCTATTTGCAGAAAATATAAGTATATTTGTTGCTGGTTCGCAGGTGCTAAGAAACAAACCTGATTTTCGACGGAAACCATGGCCTACAATAAGCAACAGTGCCAAGGAATTCGTTAAGAAGTTATTAGTAAAGGATCCTCGTGTGAGACTGACTGCTGCTCAAGCTTTATGTATGTGTTCCACCTTCAGTCCCTGATGTCAGTGCTTTAGTGTCACTCTCCATGCTTTTTTCAATTATAAAGGAAAACATTTCAACATTGATGCTTGATCTTGCTGCATTGTTGTTAAGTTTCTCAACTGCAGTTATTATGAACAATCTATCCCCTAGTTAACGGAATCTTCTATAAGTTATCATCATTCAGTTACATTCACTAATAAATTGCCTTCTGATTGATGTGCATCTCTGCAGCCCATCCATGGGTGAGAGAAGGGGGCAATGCATCAGAGATACCATTGGATATCTCAGTTCTAGCAAATATGCGAAAGTTCGTAAAGTATAGCCGTCTAAAGCAGTTTGCACTGAGGGTAAACAATATTGCACAAGGAGTTATACTTTGATATTATTTTCGAAAAAAATTCTTTTATAACCTAATTCATTTTTTAAGCAGGCAATAGCAAGCACTCTTGATGAAGATGAGCTAGCAGATCTTAAGGACCAGTTTCAAGCAATTGACATTGATAAAAGTGGCTCAATAAGCCTTGATGAAATGAGACAGGTTGGTCTTCTTAAAATACTTCTTTAGGAGTGTTGTGATTCTGGTGCTGGAATGACAAAATTTAGCTTTTTCTTGAAAATTTCTCTGTGTAACTTGCCAAACACATTTCTTTTTTCATTCTTTAACTTTCTTTTTTTGCTTTATGCAACTCTTCTGGCGTGCTTGCTAATTTTAGGATTGCTTTATCCAAGTTTCATTGAGAACCTAGGTTTCAAGGATTTCTGAGGGGCAACAACTTGTTGCAATGGATGTGAATTTGGATCATAGATGTTTTAATCAATGGATTCTGAAGAAGACTTTGTTCATACCCTATTTTTGTGGTCAATTTAATTGTAGCATCTTGTGATGTTAGTCAACTTCTGCAAAAACTTCCTGTTAAAAGGAGTAATAACCATTAGTTTGGTGTCTATAAATCAGCATGTGCTTAGCAAAGAAGATTTAAGGGCTAAAACTCTTATGTCAATGCACCATTATGGGAATCTCCTACTGCTGGACAACAATTTTGAGTATTAGTTGCTTGTTTGGAATTGTGCTTTCTCTTCAGTTTCAACACATATCCCATTTTTGGACTTTTGTAGTTAAGTTGGGTAGCATTTAAATCATTTTAATGTATATCTTTATATTCCTATCATTTAGATCCTTTTGGTTGGGTAGCATTTAAGGAGCACTGCAGCGGTAATATGTTTCTTTTGTTTTACTCTGGATTTTGTTTTTTCTAAAATTTTAGATAAACTTTTGCAAAAGAAAAAAATGTAGATAAACTTTCTTTCATGCTAAATGTCTTGACTATGTTCGTTTGAGCAGGCTCTTGCCAAGGATATCCCCTGGAGATTAAAGGGACCTCGTGACCTTGACATTCTTCAAGCTGTAAGTTTTAATATATA